GGTGGGGGGGGGGGGGGGGGGGTCCATCTTTTTTTTTAATGCAGTGGCTCTCAAACTAGGGGTACAACTAAAATGGAGCTGGTTCTCAAAGGGCATGCGGGTCTGTTTAAAAAAAACAAAAACAACAACAATATATATATATATCTATATCTAATTGTTCTGTCTTTCGAATACAGCTTCCACGAACCTTTGTTCCACGATTTCCTTTCACACGGCTTGAATGAACGCAGTCCTTCATTTATTCGCATTAAAATAAAAGCCAGCACAATGTCCCGCAATGTTGACTTACGTTCGGCTGTTGATTTCATTGGTAACGTGGATTCTAGGACATTGTCTTTCTTTGTTGTTTTTTTTTAATTTTATTTTTGCTGTTTGTAATTTGACGTTTTGTATACTATTTTTTTTAAACACCTGAAATAGATGAGACTACCTACGATTACCTACGACTACCTATAGCTCCCTAAGACTACCTATGACTACCTAACAGCTCCTTGTGACTACCTTTAACAACCTACGACTACCTGCGACCATCTTAACCCTATATACGACTACTTACGACTAATTCAACTACCTAGGACTACCTACAAGTACCTACGACTACGTCAACTGCCTACGACTACCTACGACTACCTACAACTACCTACGACTACTACAACTGCCTAAGACCGTCCAAGGCTACCTACGGCTGCTTACCACTGCTCATCACTTCCTACGACTGCAACTGCCCATGTGGTCACTAAGAATGATGCACACGAAAACCCCTTTGAGACATTTAGTGTTGTCGCCATCATTGGATTGACTTTGTTGAAACGGCTCACTGGTCCACTTACTCGTTTAAAAGGTTGAATTTTTTTTAGAATAACGGTCGCCCCAATACACAGAAATAATGAAACAATGAATGTGTCACGTGACCAAGGCACCCGCCTTCGGCTGTTCTTTCGGTATTCATAATCCTTCCCGGAACTTTGAACCCTATCAATAATTCTCTTCATACCCGCCCATGTTTAATAGCTGCAGGCATTTTCCGAGCATTAAGAGGCGAGCCGACTTGGAAAAAGTGTCTGTGTGTGTGTGTGTTGGGGGGGGGGGATTTCTTGGCAGGAAGGTTAAAAAGAGAGAGGGGGTAGGGTGTTGGGTGGAGTGGCACTAATCATCACATTACGATCGCATCCATAATTTAAGGGTAAAACCTGACGAATCCAGAGGATCTCTCGGGGGGCCTTTCGTCCGCTGTGCATTTCGCACTGTTTGTATCCAATAATCGGGGGATAGCCCTCGTCTCGGCTCAAGTGCTCGGCCGGCCTGGGCGAGTTCTCACGGACACACTCGGGGGAGGAAATTGGGCCATTTAGCCGACAAACTGTGTGTTTAACTCCCCCCCCCCCCCTTAACGGGCTGTCGTCGGGCCTTTTCGGGACACTTGTTTTCTGGTTAAGAGAAGAACAAGGTATGTGGAAGCCTGAAAGACAGGACAGTAAGAGAAGAACAAGGTATGTGGAAGCCTGAAAGACAGGACAGTAAGAGAAGAACAAGGTATGTGGAAGCCTGAAAGACAGGACAGTAAGAGAAGAACAAGGTATGTGGAAGCCTGAAAGACAGGACTGTAAGAGATGAACAAGGTATGTGGAAGCCTGAAAGACAGGACAGTAAGAGATGAACCAGGTATGTGGAAGCCTGAAAGACAGGACAGTAAGAGATGAACAAGGTATGTGGAAGCCTGAAAGACAGGACAGGAATAGAAGAACAAGGTATGTGGAAGCCTGAAATACAGGACAGTAAGAGAAGAACAAGGTATGTGGAAGCCTGAAAGACAGGACAGTAAGAGAAGAACAAGGTATGTGGAAGCCTGAAAGACAGGACAGTAAGAGAAGAACAAGGTATGTGGAAGCCTGAAAGACAGGACTGTAAGAGATGAACAAGGTATGTGGAAGCCTGAAAGACAGGACAGTAAGAGATGAACCAGGTATGTGGAAGCCTGAAAGACAGGACAGTAAGAGATGAACAAGGTATGTGGAAGCCTGAAAGACAGGACAGGAATAGAAGAACAAGGTATGTGGAAGCCTGAAATACAGGACAGTAAGAGAAGAACAAGGTATGTGGAAGCCTGAAAGACAGGACAGTAAGAGAAGAACAAGGTATGTGGAAGCCTGAAAGACAGGACAGTAAGAGAAGAACAAGGTATGTGGAAGCCTGAAAGACAGGACAGGAATAGAAGAACAAGGTATGTGGAAGCCTGAAAGACAGGACAGGAATAGAAGAACAAGGTATGTGGAAGCCTGAAAGACAGGACAGTAAGAGATGAACAAGGTATGTGGAACCCTGAAAGACAGGACAGTAAGAGAAGAACAATGTATGTGGAAGCCTGAAAGACAGGACAGTAAGAGAAGATCAAGGTATGTGGAAGCCTGAAAGACAGGACAGTAAGAGATGAAAAAGGTATGTGGAAGCCTGAAAGACAGGACAGTAAGAGATGAACAAGGTATGTGGAAGCCTGAAAGACAGGACAGTAAGAGAAGAACATTTCGAGTGAGCCTTTCTTTTTCCCCATTAATCCTGTCTGCTGAGGAAGGCTCTGCGCCGAAACGTTCGTATAGTCCTGTCTTTATATTTCAAGCCTCCACATATCTTGTGCTTCTGTTCTTCCCTAAGTATAACCTGAAACTAGGAAGAAGAACAACAACAAAATAATCCTGCTGTCAATTATCTTGAAGACCCATGCCTAACTACACCGCAATTCCCTTCGCTGTGCGAAATGTTGGCCAAGGACGTTTTATTAATATCTTATTGAGCTTGGCCAGACCGTACGCCCGGATGTTCTATTAATAGATTTCCGCCGTTGAACGACAAACCCTATGAGCAGAATAAGGCTTTCGCTGTTCATTAATGATATTATAATTATCAAAGATACATCTACCAAGTACATGTACTTTTATTATTTCATGTATGCATAATCCACTACTGTCCTCAAACTGTTGTAAAGACAGTTATGACCACAGGAAGCTTCACAAACGTAGATTTTTATTTTTTTTATTATGTCATAATATTAAATGCCATTTATTTTTTTTTTTAAATCTTGAGATCTACTGAAGGTATTGAAAACTTTTTCAAGCAGGTATATTTCTATTTAAACATAAATTCGAAAGAATTTAAACCGAGACTAAACGTCAAAGGAAAGAAGAAAACAAATGTGGCTTGAGAGGTCTTCATTTTTCATGAGCGTGAGTTTCGGTGGAACTCTTCAGTGTCCTTTCATAAGCTCCCCCAGGAGGTGGAGAATCTCATTGTAGCTGAGGTCACTGAGGTACTGGGTCAAGGTCTGGTCGTTCTGCTGGGCAACGGTCAGTAAGGTGCCCAGGGGGTCGGGATTCCATGTAAAGAAACGGGCGTCGTCTGAAACCAGAAACGTTAGGGCAGTAGAGAGTTAATGGTCAGTAGAGACTCAATGGTCAGTAGAGACTCAATGGTCAGTAGAGACTCAATGGTCAGTAGAGACTCAATCTAAGGTCTATACAAGATCAATACTAGATATGTCATTATAAGGTCACTATTAGTGTTTAAGGTGAGGAACTATGTCATTCCCAGGGAACTGGTGTCATTCCCAAAGATGAATAAAAGCTTTAAAGATGTAATGCTATTGGAGCCATTACTAAAGGAGAATAATGCACGAGGGACTGCGTTCAAGCCTTGTCTACCGAAGAAGGCTTCTAGCCGAAACGTCAACTTCATCGCCCATGTCATTTCTGTTCAACCCTAAACATATCTTGCTCTACTATGCATGTAGCCGCTACAGGAATACCTCTAGTGTTGGCAGCATGCTAGAAACACTAGGCTGGTCACCATTGGAGAAACAACGACGACAATCCAGGCTCTCCATGATGTACAAGATATATAATGGGCTGGTCCACTGTTCCAGTATTAAACAGAAACTCGTCCCTCTCCCCCATAGACAGCGACGAGGCCATGACAGGCAATTCAGGCTCCTACCAGCAAGAAGCCAGTATAGGAGCTGCTCATTCCTGCCCAAGACAATCAGGGACTGGAACAATCTTTCAAAAGGAACAGTTGAGGCGACAACACTAGACACATTTGTGTCTATTGCCTCCAGCCTTCAAACCCCTTGTGCATGATTTCCTCATCAACACCAGTAACAGAAACATTGCAAATCCCATCTACATGCATAGGAGCCAAAATGATCAATAAATTGATCGTTGGCCCTTAAGATATAGAAGAAGAAGATTACTGCAAGCATTCAAGAGCTATAAGAAAAAAATAATTCATTAAAATAAAGTAACAAGATTTGCTACTCTCTTCAATGTCTCGCAATAACGTGTCTTATAACGCCATAGAAGAACATGTTACAGGTCAGCCATTAAAAAAAAAAAAATGACATTTTTTCTGCAGTTGGAACTGTTCATTTTTTTTTAAGCTAAAATGTAAAGAATATCTGTCAAGATCATTACTAATATTAATGCTCATATCTGTTTGGCCAGAGTTTCTGAGGTAAGGTGTTTCTTGCATCTGTTCCTACTGACCTATAATATAACGCTGCCACGTTACTTTGGTGGAGGCCGGAGTGTTTGTTCAGTAGGGCCATACTACGCTCCTTGCCTTAGATTTTAGATAATAACTCAGTACGCAGAGGCGTAGCGAGTGGGGGGCAAGGGGGGGCAGATGTCCTCGGGCGCCAGCTAGTTAAGGGCGGCAATATGTGCTTTGATATTATTTTATTGATGAAAATAATGGGTCTAAGAGTTGAAAAAAAAGAAAAAGGGGCGCTTTAAAATGGATCTTGTCCCCGGGCGCGAATTTTGTCCCCGGGCGCCAAACACCCTCGCTACGCCTCTGTCAGTACGGGGGATGTCGCAAAACATCAACGCCACCGGCAAGTTCCGTCAGGTTTACATCCCTATGGACGCCTTCCACGCTTTCAGTAAGTTCTTCCTTGAGGGAGCTTTACGGCTCCATTTTTAGCGCTTACCGTTGGTAGTCGACACGCTGTGCAGAAAATGGTTGAGTACGGCGTGCTGAGCTTGTCTCCTGCTGTTGGCTGATGTTAGAGAACACACATTAAAGTGAATTACAATTAAAGAAATAATTAATTTTTTTTTTTTTAGTACCAGAAGAGTAGAATATTGCTGTTTTAAAGGAATTGACTTAAACGGCATGGAAAGCGGATTTGCGAATATGTGATAGATGGGTGTTGTTATTTTAATAGTATATGTTTATGTGTGCATGTGTGTGTCTGTGTGTGTCATGTTGTAAGATGTGTAAATTATTAATGATGTTAACGAAATAGTACCACCGCTACGCGTATACGACACACATACACACACACACACGCACACCGCAAGCACACTCAAAAACACACACAGAAGCACACAGAAACAGACATACATACACACAGTCACACACACACACACGCACACCGCAAGCACACTCAAAAACACACACAGAAGCACACAGAAACAGACATACATACACACAGTCACACACACACACACACACATACACACACACATATTCTTTGATGTGTACCAGATGTGTTTACTCACTGTGCTCTCTGATCAAATCAATAATTTGAGAGTGGGTGAGTGGGTCACCGAACAATGACAAGGTCTGTCTCTTGCCCCCAGCTGTGGGACACATCCGATCATTTTAGATGATACAAATTAGAACAATTTCACAATTTGTAAGAACGAACAAGAACAATTTCACAATTTGTAAGAATGCACAAGAATTATTTTTTAGCAATTTGTAAGAACGCACAATCCCAATCTCTTTAAAGTATACTCACCAAAAAAATGTATCTATTTAGAATTTAATATACGAATCCAATTAATAAATTTAATTAGCCAGGAGCCAAACATACATTATTGGGACCAACGGACCTCAAATGTCAAAACAGAACCTTACGACCTACATACCGATATCATACAGATCCTGATATCACACTGATATCAAATTTGTTAAAGAGCGCTTTCTTAAAAGGAACGCTCAAGGTAGATCGACAGCTTAAACTAATTTTTTTTTTTTTTGGGGGGGGGGGATAACGATACCACGAGGGAAACAAAACGATTTTTTAAAAACATGTATTGTTCTAAAAATGTATTCATTGCTACTTTGACTCACTGTGTTCTTTAATCAGGTCCATAATCTGGCTGTAGCTGAGGGGGTTGCCGTACAGTGACGTGGGCAGCTCATCTTGTCTTCTGACGCCAGCTGCGAACGGACACCATTGATATACTTTTTGAAACACAATTCTAAATAGATTCGATGCGCAGGACTAAAAAAAATCCGGGTTTCTGTAAGGCAGACTTTGGTTAAATTGACTATAAATTTGTTGCCCTGAAGTGTAGCCTGAAGTGTAGCCTGAAGTGTAGCCTGAAGTGTAGCCTGAAGTGTAGCCTGAAGTGTAGCCTGAAGTGAAGCCTGAAGTGTAGCCTGAAGTGTAGCCTGAAGTGACCAATCCCCAACGGAAAGAAGCATATAACAACGGCATTTATTATTCTATTAAAAAAAAGCTAACGTCCAAAGTTCCATAAAGGTTTGTTTGCAACACGCTGCGGAGCATGGACTTCCCAATAAAACATTCATGAATGATCAAGTGTGTTGGTATTTATTCTTGTGTTTGTCTCAAATCCTCAAACACCTCCTCTAATTGTGTAACGTTAGATGAAAAATTATTTCCAGTGATTTGATTATTTTTACCGTGAGGATGTTTTAAACAAAAAAAAATCATTGAAGTTACATGCAGTTATATAAATTGCGAAATTTTCATTGGAACTTACGTAATTTGCATAAAAATATTATTTTTTTTTACAGATTCTCGAAATTTTCATTAGAACCTAATTAATTGGCATTCGCGCTTGTTTCACGGATTGTTTCGCATGATTCTATAAACACGTGTCTATTAATAAGCAAGAAAAAGCTTGCGTTAGATCATTAGATATCGGAAATATAGCCTACGTTTTACGATAATTATATCTTCTTAACATATAAATATATATTAAATTATAAAAAATACAAAAAGAAAAGACGATACGATTTTAATACTTAATTTATGAAGAATTCTATTCTGAGATTTTGTTTAAAATGTGGGATTATATTCCATAAACTGAGAACCCCCTGTATATTTAAGCTTTACTTACACGTAGAGAAGGGGTTCTTAAACAGGGGGGGGGGGGGGGGGGAGGACCATGTATAGGTATACGTTTCAGGAGGTCTATGAGCTGCATTTTCTATGTTATTTTATTTTATGCATTTAAATCTTNCTAATCCAGTCTGTACTCTAATCAAGTCTGTACTCTCCAATCCAGTCTGTACAATCTAATCCAATCTGTACAATCTAATCCAATCTGTACCATCTATCTAAGTTTGTGCCATCTGATGCTGTTCGTATTATCTAAACTTGTCTCAAACTTCTGATTATGTTTGAAACATCTTTTCATGTCTATGCCATCCTGTCATTTTTAGCACACTTAACTTTTGTTCAGCCCCACCGCCGAATGTATCACTAATAATTTTTTTCTAAATGACATTCAGCAAGCAAATGATCTAAAGCTAAGGCATCGTGTAAAAGGTTTTGGCCAAACAATGAGTCATCAAAAGTAACTTTAGAGATAGAATAACATTCAAAATAAAATATTGGACATAAATTAAAATCATGTTCCAAGTGTCATCTAAATATGTTATAGTTTTGTCTTTATTTTAGTATTATCTAATAATTGCTTTTAGATGTCGTTTTCCGAAACGTTTCACAAATATGAAAACTGAAACTACATTAATTCTCTTTTCATCAAAAAAACACACACACACAAAAAAAAAAAAAAAAACACAAAAAAAATAAAAAAACAAAAAAAAAAAAAATATATATATATATATATATATATATATATATATATATATATATATATGTTTATTTATAAGTTATTTATATTTTTTAACCACATTTAACTAATCTTTAACAATCCATTTTAAAGAAACCGTCTTACCTGTACAAAATAACTCTAAGGCGTATATTCGAGTGCCACAATATCTTGCTTCTGTTATTGTGGGAAAAAATACTTATATTATTAAACGTAATTTTAAAATATATATATATATATAATGCCCGTTCCTATTGCAGTTTTTGATCCTGTTTGGCGAAAGCTGTGAAAAATTGCATCAAAATTATCCACTCTTCCTCCTCGATGCCTCAGAGCTAACAGAATAATTTGACTGTGTTGTTGTTGTTTTTGCCAACACAGTTCGCGTATTTAAATATTGGTATGTGAACCTCTCCAACACAGTGGCGGAGATATGTTTGACACCCAAAATGGAAACAAAAATGAATTGGGTGCATCATGTGATGTGTTGCGCTGGAGATGAAATATTTATTAATTAATTCTTTTAACTTCAACATACATGATGAGCTTTGGTGAATGTCTGTTTGGTGAATGTCTGTTTGGTGAATGTCTGTTTGGTGGATGTCTGTTTGGTGAATGTCTGTTTGGTGAATGTCTGTTTGGTGAATGTCTGTTTGATGAATAACAGAATGTCTGTTTGGTGAATGTCCGTTTGGTGAATGTCTGTTTGGTGAATGTCCGTTTGGTGAATGTCCGTTTGGTGAATGTCCGTTTGGTGAATGTCTGTTTGGTGACCTGCTGAAGATTGGACGGTACAAACTCTTAAATGCTCAGTTTAGGATGTATACGCTATTTGAGGCAGACACCAACGGCCTGTGTCAGGGCCCCTAGGCTTCGAGCTTCATTAGGCCCATGGCATTGCTAAAGGTTGCATGGGCCCCTGCTCTGGGGTGGGGCCCCTGTTCAGCCTTATGGATAATACGGCTTTGCAGAGCCTTCATGGGATTTCGGAACCCAAACCCCCTGCTACTTTTATTTGGGGGGGGGGGGGGTTATTGCCACATCACAGTTTTAGGCCATTTAAATATCCGAGCCTCCCCCCCCCCAACCGCTTCGCAGCCGCAATGGTGGAAGAACCACATGACGGCTCTGATTTCGCGCAACTTTGCTAACAGTGATTATTTCAGAAATTTCCCCAAAGGGGTGGGGGGGGCACCGCAGAGGGGCAGTGCCAGTTGATTTATTGTTGGACATATTTTTGCTCCGGGGGGCACTTGTCTTTAAAATGTGGGATTATATTCCAAAAACTGAGACCCCCCTGTATATTTAAGCTTTACTTACACGTAGAGAAGGGGTTCTTAAACGGGGGGGGGGGGAGGGGGAGGACCATGTATACGTATACGTTTCAGGAGGTCTATGAGCTGCATTTTCTATGTAATTTTATTTTATGCATTTAAATCTTTAGTCTAAGACTATAAGCCCGTGGCCTTCATCTGACCGACAAAGGGGTCCATGGAACAAAACAAAAAAAAATATTAAGAACCCCTGATGTGTATATTAATCAATGACTTAACTGTACAGTGCATATTTAACTATGACGTACCTTTAGAATAAGGAGCAGCATTACAAACAGCCACAGCCAGGAGCAGGAGGTAAGTTATCATGTTTTCTTTCTGGCCTTGTACTGCACCTCTCTCTCTCTCTATTTAAGCTGTCGACAAATGAGAAGAAACAGCACTAATTATGTTTTACATAGTCATCAGTATGTTAAGCGCTCTAGGTATGTATGAATGAATGTATGGTGTAATGCTGAGTTCAATAGCGCGCTAAATAATACTCCTGGTAGGTGCGCTATAGATATATATGACTAAAGGTGATCTTTAAATAATATCGCAAGTGCGTTTGGTGCGTAATATTTTCTAAATTTCAATATGATTTTATAAACCTGTGCTGTAAAAGGGGGTGGGGGGATGTTATAATATTAATATATATTTAGGGGTGTGAAAAACGTAAGTCGTGGTGTAATTAGGGTGGGGGGGGGTGCGAATTAATTGGATCCTTATTAAAAGTGTGTTACTTCGTGCGTTTTGTCAAGTAACATTAGTAGATGGGAAGCTCACACATTGCTGCCGACATTGTTTGGCGGGATATAATTAGATAATAATAAAAACAAGCTTGACTTTATTTGCGTGACTCTTATATCAATTTTAAAACAAACACACACACACACAAAATACAAAAACCACACACAAAAACAATACCAAAACAACACAAAACAACATATATATATATATATATATATATATATATATATATATATATATATATATATGTTTATTTATAAGTTATTTATATTTTTTAACCACATTTAACTAATCTTTAACAATCCATTTTAAAGAAACCGTCTTACCTGTACAAAATAACTCTAAGGCGTATATTCGAGTGCCACAATATCTTGCTTCTGTTATTGTGGGAAAAAATACTTATATTATTAAACGTAATTTTAAAATATATATATATATATAATGCCCGTTCCTATTGCAGTTTTTGATCCTGTTTGGCGAAAGCTGTGAAAAATTGCATCAAAATTATCCACTCTTCCTCCTCGATGCCTCAGAGCTAACAGAATAATTTGACTGTGTTGTTGTTGTTTTTGCCAACACAGTTCGCGTATTTAAATATTGGTATGTGAACCTCTCCAACACAGTGGCGGAGATATGTTTGACACCCAAAATGGAAACAAAAATGAATTGGGTGCATCATGTGATGTGTTGCGCTGGAGATGAAATATTTATTAATTAATTCTTTTAACTTCAACATACATGATGAGCTTTGGTGAATGTCTGTTTGGTGAATGTCTGTTTGGTGAATGTCTGTTTGGTGGATGTCTGTTTGGTGAATGTCTGTTTGGTGAATGTCTGTTTGGTGAATGTCTGTTTG